AAAGAGCTAACCTCCCACTGGCTTCCCTCTTAAAGCCCTCAAAAGTATGCCCATGACCACCATTAAACCACGAATGGATTAATCCACTTACTAGAGTGTGATCTTCACAAGCCAATCATCTCTTCAAGGATCCACCTTTCGATTACCATAATAGGATTTCCCACCCTCTCAACACTGTCACTGTGGGGTTGTAGAGTCAGTGAGCTTTGGGGGGACATCCACCCCACAAGAGGAACCCTCACACATTTCGCTTCCCATGGAATGGGATGAGGAAGGGTGAGTCCTTCTAAACTTGCGATCTCTTTGTTCCTAGGAGTCTACAGAAAACCTTCTCTCTTGGCCCAGCTGGGTACCCTGGTGAAATCAGGAGGGAACTTGACCCTGCAATGCTTCTCAGAGATGGTATTTGAGAAGTTCATTCTGGTTCAGCACAGATCAGGGGCAACTGAGAACACTTTGCACCTTGCTGGGGAACTCCATCATGGGAGCTCCCAAGCCAACTTCTCCATGAATCCAGTGACATCTGCTCATGCAGGGACCTACAGATGTTATGGTTCTGTCAGTCACTCCCCCTATGAGTGGTCAGCCCCCAGTGACCCTCTGGACATTGTGATCACAGGTGAGGGTACCCAAACCTGCCCTTCATTCTCTTCGGGATACAGGCTGGATGTTCAAGGATGTGGAAGCCCCAGGTCATGATGAGGAAGATGAGTGTGGGGATCCAGACTTGGTTAGAGCTACACCAACAGAGGCAAAGAAAGATGAGAAACAAGTACAGACCACTTGTTATAACATAAAGGACAGATACAGGGGCAGAGACAGGAGTCATATGAGATACACAGCAAAGGGTGAGGTACAGACAGATGTACACGTGGCAGAGAGAGAGTGTGCCCTTTCACCCTGGTCTTTGTTCAGAGACCGGGGACAGTTTAGAAGTTTGGTTGCCATTTTGCCTCCATACTCTCTTCACCACCAGGAGGACCCAAAGACACACCACATATCTGACCTAAGTTGGGCCCTGTGGCCTCAGCCCATGTGGCAGCCACAGATGCCAGGTTTATTCTGACACCTCTCCCTTCCATGTGGTTGAGTCATAATTTGTCCCTGCATATCATGGTTCCAGGTAAAGCAGCCAAACACCAGCCCCATATGCTGTGTGTTTTCTAGGTCCCCAAACTGGTTTCTCAACCCATGTTCCAAAGTAACCCCAGGTATTACAGGATTACTGAAGACAAAAGCCCACAGAGAAAATCAGAGATCAAACAATATCAGTGAAATACAAATGGAATCGCAGGCACACACACAGAGAGAGATAGACAGACAGAATGAGCCAAGAGAAGGGAATTGAGAAAGAGAGAGACTCAGAGACACATAAAGAGAAAGAAAAAGAAATTAAAGAAAATGGGGATAAAGAAGTGGAGAGGGTGCAGAGAAAAGCCCTAAAAGTCAAAGTCCCTAATGAGGCACACAAAGATAGAGCAAGATAGACGTGTGGATGGATGGCCAAGATTCCAAAAGAGAACTAGAGAGTCAGAGAAGCAGAGAAAGACATAGAGATAGAGGGAAGTAGGTAGATGATAGATAGACAGAGATGAGACAGATAAGAGAGAGACGGACACACAGAAAGATAGGGACAAGACAGAGACTGAGAGACTCGGGATGAAAGAATAAGGAAGACAGACAGATCGACCAATCCAAGAAGCAAAGAGAGTAAAAAAAATACAAAATAAATAAATAAAAGAAACCTGGGCAGGGAAAAGACCTAAAGAGACAAAGAGCAAGAGATGGAGAAAGTACAAAGAAGGAGGAAAATAGACACGGATGGGGCAGGGGGAGAGAAAGAAGGGGGAGGGAGAGAGAGAGAGCTCTAAGTCAAGGGAGCATGAAGAACAAATTCTCAGGTCAGGAGTGAAGGACACTGAGGTAAGGAAGAGTCTCTCCAACTAAAGAGCCTCTTCTTCTTGCAGGTCTATATGAGAAGCCTTCTCTCTCAGCCCAACCAGGACCCATGGTTATGTCAGGAGAGAATGTGACCTTGTCCTGTGGCTCTAAGAGCTCTTTTGACATGTACCATCTATCCGGGGATGGGGAGGCCCCTGAACGCAGGCGCCCTGCAGTGTGGAGCCGCAATGGTACATTCCAGGCTGACTTCGCTATGGGCCCCATGACCACAACTCACTGTGGGACCTATAGATGCTACGGGTCTTTCAGTGGCTCCTCCTATCTGTGGTCAGCCCCAAGTGACCCAACGCACCTTTCTATCACAGGTGAGGAGCCCTGTACCTGTTCTATGTCTTGTAACTCAGTCTAAATCCTAAAGCCATATCTCAAGAACATTCTGCTGATGAAGGAAAGAAGCCTAGAGAAAGAGAGAGAGAAGAAAAGAAAGAGTATGAGAGGAGATATCAAAATACATAGGATGGTAGACCGGGTACTTCTAAAACTCTCCTTCATATTTTGTGTGGAGGATCACATTGGGGAGTCTATGACAGGCAGAGTCAGGACAGGCCCAGAGGAGGTGACACTGGGCTCATGTTGGGGAATCAGACGTTGTGTCTGCCCCTCACCATTTTCCATTTCCCAGAAGCCTCTCCTGACCTCTCACCATGGAGAGATTTCATCACCAGCATCTTCATCACCCTAACTCCCATTTCCTCTTTATACCTTGAAGTCTCAGGAGGGGAGTCATCTCCTCCAAGGGTTGTCGGGAAGGAGATCCCAGGATCGCAGGGCTCAGTGTTAGATGACAGAGTGTTGGCCACAGATCAACCTCCAAGGCATTTCAATAGGGTGGAAGGCAGGCAGCCTTCCTTCCTCACCTCTCTCCTGTCCTGTGTTCTAGGAAACTCTTCAAGCTGTTGCCCTTCACCCACAGAGTCAAGCTCCAAAAATGGTGAGTGAAGGATCTCTCTTATCTCTGCTTGTGAAAACCGGGGGAGACAGGAGCCTTGGATTTGAGTGTTAGTTCAGCCACCTCCCAGCACTGTGATTTGGGACTTGTCTTTCCTCTCTGATCTGCTCTCTGATCATTGATGCTACAACAGCTCATGGGATTTGGGGTCAACATGGGGCTCCGTAGGGACACTTAATCTCTAATTTTCTGCAGCAAAGACCTCCTCCAAGCAGGAAGGATTAGAGTCACCCTGACAGCCTTCCTGACAGGAAAAATGTGGTCTTCATTCTATCCCTATTCCTCATGTAGAAGAGATCATGGGAGCTTGAGAGAGGGGAGGGGAAAAAAGCAACTGGTGGGGAGTTCTTCTTAAAAATTCCATCTGCCAGAGAATGAGTTCGTGTCTGTCAAGACGCAACCCTGGTGCAGTCAGAAAAGCAAAAGCCCTGCAGTAAGAGAGGACTGAGTTCTGCCACACTTACGACACCTTCCTTAATTTATTCATTCAGGCACTGTTCAATACGCTGGAAATGCTGTGTGTATTTTTTCCTTATTGCTGCTATGATAGATTTCCCCAAGCTCAGTAAATTAAAACAGCAAGTTTTTAAGATTATCTTACAGTTCTATAGTCAGAAATCTGAAATGGGCCTCACCGGGCTTAAAAAGAGGTGGCAGCAAGGCTGCATTCGTTCCGAAGGTTCTGGGAGAGAATCAACTTCCTTCCTTTTTGCAGCTTCTAGAGGCTCCCATGTTTCTTTGCTCATGCTCCCTTCTGTTATCTTCAAAACCAACCATGGTTGGTCCATTTTTTCTAACATTGCATCACTCTGACCCTGTTTCCTTCTTATCATTTCTCCCTCACTCGTCTCCTGGCTCCCTCCTTCTCTCTTAAGAACTCCTGTGATTACATCGGACCCACCAGATAATCCAGGGTAATCTCTCCTATTTTAAAGCCAACTTATTACCAACCTTAATTTCCTCTGCAACTTTAATTTCTCCCTGCCATGTAATATAACATAATCACAGGTTATGGGATTTTGGCAATGGTCATCTTTAGTGGTGGGCATTCATCTTCCAACCACAAATAGTGAATAAGATAAATCTGGCCTCTGCGCTTGGGAAGCTGATATCACTGCACACTTAAGTGGGAGAGCAGAAAATTCATGCACCAATGGATGAATGAATGAATAATTAATTACGAAGCAGTTATACATGATATTTTAAATACAGGTAGCTGATAGGTAATGTTTAATGGACAATTTAAAGTGAGTGGTACAAAATCTCTCACTGATCAGTCAATATTTAAGCTGTGATCTTAATGACAAAATGGATTCAACCCTTGGAAGATTGGCAAAATAATATCCCAGACAGAGCTATAAGCCATGAAGCTACTAAGGTGAGAATAATCTTACTTTCAAGAAAGAGTCTATGCCTGAAATGTTGTGAATGAGATGGAGAGAATTGTGAGATAAATGTAGAGAGATGGAGAGGACCTAGAATATATGAGGATTACGTAAGAACAGGGAATTAATGTTTTGTGTTAACTGTTATTGGAATTCATCTCAGGAATCAATATATGATTAATAATGACTGATGTGAAAGTATAGGATTCTCAGGCACATAACTGTGAGCCAGGAAACCAGGGAGACACAGTTGCATTCTCCTGGTAAAAATGGTGGTGACTTAGAAACTAATGAATGAAGTAGATAGATACACATTCGCAAGGTAGAACCATTTGGAGAGAAGTCCTGTTGGATCTGACTTTTGCTAGTTGCTTGATCTTGGCTTTATTAATTTCCTTCTGAGACTCACTTTCACTACATCAAATTTATTCTTCCCAGGAGAGAAAAAAATGTGGGGTTGGGGGAAGGGGATGAAAATGCACACAACTGTGGTGTAAAATACCAGAATGACAAGGGCACTCAAATTAAAATCATCATTATTCTACTTTGTATGATTACCTCTTTGATCCTCTATCTTATCCACAATAAATCAGGCTAAAAGCACCTCCCTTTTAGACTTTGTGTAAGCATGAGAACAGTTTGAAAATGTGAAAGCCTGGGCTGGTCACTTAACTCACTTGGTTGGAGCACAGTGTTGCAAGACCAAGATCTGATCTTGAACACAGACTTTGAAATAACACAAGCAGACAAAAGAAAAGAAAAAAGTATTTTTACCAGCCAGACACCAAAAAAACGTGAAAGCACTCCCTCCTCACCAACATACATAGGTACTAGAGTAGAGAAAGTGTTGAAGACATGGTATAAAACTGGTCCTCCTCCATTCCCCTCACCCCTACTTTATTTATTTTTTTTTTCAGATAGTGCTAATTTTATTCTTTCCCCTGACGTTTTTAGTATTTCATAGCATTTTGCATTTTCTTACTATATTTGTATCTACCTCACATGTAAATCAAGGTGTACGCCATGGGTATTATTTGGCACACAAAAGAGGCATGTAGAAATACAATAACAAATTGCATATTCACCAACAACAATGCAGGTTGTAGGGAGTAAGAGTCCAAAGTTACTCTGTTATTGGATTTTCATAATACCCTCATAAGTATTCTAGTGCGGAGTGTGAAGAAAATAACTCAAGTGCTCTGCATGAGTATGTATATCCCAAAAATTATATGTTTGACTCCACCAAGAAAAAAAATTGTTATAAGTCCTTCACCATTAAGAGTCTAATGGTTCATTGTTACTGTCTCTTATTAAGTATCCTACCAGGGGGGATGAAATGTTGGTAGAAAGAATATGATTCATTCATAACTATAAAAACAAATTTATTAACTAAAACATTAGATATATCATACATTGTGAATAAAACAGTAGAAAAATGTATTGCCAACAGTTAAATGTGAATCCTATTCTAGAACCTGCTATTCTAGTTCTTTTGATTAAGCTCTCCATGGTAATTGTTCTCCCTTCAATTTTGAGCATAAGATGAATGTTTCACCACTCTAGTATGCAACAGCTATTGTCCGTTAATGAATAAAGAAGCCACCATCTCCCTTGGATTCTTTCTACCACATATTCAGTCTATAACAAAATATAACTTGTATCCCATAAAAGTCCCAGGTTCCTAAGGTTTAGTGCTGCTATATTTTATGGTGAGTTGATAAGAGCTTCTCTTTCCGATTATTCAAAGTCCCCTTCTCTGAACACAATAAACGTTATGACTGACATCAAAGATTTACATGATTTTCTGTCCCACCTCTATGCTCTTTCATTCAGACATTATTTACTTTTAGAAAGCACAGACCTGTCTCTTCAATGAACTTAGATAATAATGACCTTCACCTAATAAAGTAGGCCCTTTCATCCTATTGATTCTTGCCCATGTACCACCATTAAAGGTGTGTAAGGATGCATAATACCAACACATTTCAAAGTGCAGGTTGAAACTCATAAATAGTAGCCTATTCAAGAAACCCCAAATAATAAAATATTTTAAAACCTCAAGGTAACTGGCCATTCCCAAATGTCCTGGTACCTTGATATATATCATGACTTTTAATTTTTTTTTTTACTTTTAATTATCTTGCAGTATATATTAAAGGTTAATTTTGGAGAACTAGAGAGTGTGTTATGCCTTGCATAAAACCTCTGATGTTCTACAATTTTGGTCCTTTGGTAGCAGCCTCAGCATGCTCATTATGTTTTTGTGGTACTATCAAGAATGTATATTTTATTGTCTAGTGAGTTGTGAAACCTGAATGAAGCCACATAATGTTTTATGATTTTTCTTTAGTATAAACTCTCTGATCTCTAATGCTTGAACTCATTATGAAGAATCTGCCAATCACTTTTAAGGATAATCTAAAGAATGAATTCTCTTATGTTGTGAGAGGAGTGAATTGTACTTGAAAACACTGTCACATATTACATGTGTAAAGCTTCCCACCAGAATGAATTCTCCAATGACTTGCAAGGTGTGATCTTCGAGTGAAGACCTTGCCACATTCATTGCATTTGTAAGGTTTCTCTCCAGTATGAATTCTCTGATGAGTTGCAAGGTGAGACTTTTGACTGAAGACCTTGCCACATTCATTACATTTGTAAGGTTTTTCTCCAGTATGGATTCTATGATGACTTGAAAGGTGTGAACTTTGACTGAAGACCCTGCCACATTCATTACATTTGTAAGGTTTTTCTCCAGTATGGATTCTATGATGACTTGAAAGGTGTGAACTTTGACTGAAGACCCTGCCACATTCATTACATTTGTAAGGTTTCTCTCCGGTATGAATTCTCCGATGATTTGCAAGGTGTGAATCCTTATGAAATACCTTGCCACATTCATTACATTTGTAAGGTTTCTCTCCAGTATGAATTCTCCAATGAGTTGCAAGGTTTGACTTTGAACTGAAGACCTTGCCACATTCCTACATTTGTAAGGTTTTTCTCCAGTATGGATTAGCCAATGGGCAGTTATGCTTGAGTGTGCTCTAAAGGCTTTGCCGCACTCCTTACACTTGTAAGGTTTCTCTCCAGTATGAATTTTGTAATGCTTTGAGAGGCTTGAAGCATGATGAAAGACCTTACCACATTCACGACATTTGTACAGTTTCTCTCTAGAATGAACTCTATGACTTGCAAAATCTTCTCTGTCATCGTGTTCATCTTTCCAATGTCACTGTGTGAAATACCTGTCTTGTATTCCTTTTCCTTTTTTGTGATAATTCCTTGATGACACACTTTGGAGAGAAATCTAGGGTATAGTGATGGGGGAGGACTTCAGGACAAAACACGTCGGACCCCTGACCATGATGGGACTTATCCTTCTTCTTGGTCCCTGCCTCTTTCGGTGTTTCTCTAATTTCTTACAGGAACACATGCATGCCTTCGCCAATCAAAATGCCGCCAAATTGTTCCTGTGTTCACACCTTTGATCCATTCTCGTCCATTGGGTTTTCTTGCTATCATCACTTGGCTCTCCACAGTCCAGGGCTCTTTCCCTTGCTCCAACATAGAGATGAGACTCAGGTCAAAATGAGAGATTCCCAGGGAGAACAGGTTCCTGTAGTTCTCCAACATCACGTCCCTGTACAAAGTCCGCTGAGCAGGGTCCAGGCATTTCCACTCCTCCTGAGAGAATTCTATGGCCACATCCCTGAAAGTCAAGCCTCCCTGAGTAAGAGCCACACCTGACTCCTTTCCTTTCCTCTTCCTCCTCTTCCAGGCTTCTTCTTCACGTAACATGATCTTTACAAGTCAATCGCGCAGCGGCGTAATCTTTGCTCCGCGCTCTCCCCTTCCGGGTCTCCCTCACCCCTACTGTAAATCACATATGCAGATACAGACAGATCCCTGGGAGGCGAACACCAGTATTCTATTGAGCGAGTTCGGATCTTGAACTCAGAGACCAGACACAGCACTATCTGCTAGTCGACTTTCATCCTCATTCACAGAAGGACAAGTTGTGTTGGGGCCAGGCAACAACAACATATGTTCAGCAATAGCTGATGCAGGGGATGGTCTTTTCCCTGTGCCTCCCAGAAAAAGCATAAACCTAACAGGTGCCACATGAGACAACAAAAAGGAACACAGCACATTCTGCAGCCCTCAGTTCACATGCCTCATCATCATTTCCTGGGCATAGGACACAGACAAGTCCACTTCTCTTCTTTTGATCTTGATTACACTTTTTTCCTTTTATTGGAGACATTAATTTTTTTGATTCCAGGGTGCTGTGGATGTCGAGATTGTGAAGCAGATTTTTTGTGCGCTGGTATCAATCCCAGGGGAAGTCTCTAAACGATTCACACGCTACACCTTTGGGTGTGCTGATTTCTGTCAGCTGCCAGAGCCTAGTGAGAGAGAACACTCACACAAAAAGTTACGTGAAGCAGGTTTACCATTCACAAATAACAAGCAAGAGAAAACAGAAGCTTAGGGATGAGAAAGTCACCCACGGCTCAGGAAAGCTCCCCAGGAAGGATGGAGTCTCCCCACTTGCTCTGCAGCTGAGGGAACCCAAAAAGCAGCCTGCCCTGGGTTTTATACCCTGGAGTGACAGTAATCACTGGGCTAAAAGCATTGCAAAACATCCTGTTCTAGGAAGGACAGGAACAGAGCCGGGGTACTCCACACAGTTCCTCTTTATCTCAAGATGTTGTGTTCCCAGCACGTCCTGCAGTTACTATTAGAACTACAAGTGAGAAAGATGGGACGGTTGTGCCACTTGCCATCCAGGCACTTGTCCTAAAGAGACATCATATGCAATTATCTGGTGATCAGTAAGTGGGAGGCAATCCACAACGGGGAGCTGCTATGACTTGCTTCTTATTGGATTAATATCTTCCTTCAGATAACTCCAGCTCCCTGCATGTTCTGATTGGACCCTCAGTGGTCACCATCCTCCTTGCCATCCTCCTTTTCTTCCTCATTCGTCGCTGGTGTCCTGCCAAAAAGAGTAAGTCTCAGGAAGAGGAGTCCAGTGCCATCTGGGCATATGGGGTCAGGATGGGAGTTAGCTGGTGTGTGTTGTCCATTTGCAGGAGATGCCTGGCCCAAGGCAGGAGCCACAGAGTTAGGGCTTCCTAGAGGTAACACCAGAGTCCCTGCCCCTTCCCTCAGCTCACAGATCATTGACTAATTCTTCACTGTATACTCGCAACCAGTGCAGCCTCTGATATCAAAAGGTTCTATGAAAGGGAGAAAGGAGGAAAGAGAACCAATGGGATGGAAGTTCGAATGATTAATGGGCTGGGTTCTTATACTTAGACAAATGGAATATGTGACTCTGCTGTTGGGCAGCTGAGTAATCTCAACCACGCACCACATCTCCAGTGTTCATATCTGTATATGAAATAAGAATCCCAAAGTTCCTTCCTAGGTGTTTTAATGATTTCTATTTCCTATAGATGCTGCTATGGTGGGCCAGGAACCTGAGGTGAACAGAACAGTGAAAAGGGAGGTAGGTCTTCGACAGCCCACCCTCTTCAATAACATTATTCCTGATGAGTCTCCAGGAGTGTATGCACATGCCCTCACTCAACATTTCCCTTTATCCAGGACCCTAAAGGAGAAGACCCACAGGAGGTGACATATGCACAGTTGGATCATTGGATTTTCACACGCAAAAAAATCACTCCCACTTCCCGGAGGCCCAAGGAACCTTCAACAGATACTAGTATGTATGTGGAACTCGCAAAATCCTGAACCCAAATCAAGTGTCATCTCCTATCCCATGAGAACACATAGAAAGACCTCGAGAAGGTCTTCCATGCACACCATAGATCCTTTCCAAACCCAGCTTGACAGCTGCAATGCAACAACAGCTAGAATCTGAAGAAGTTAAATCTTCATCTTCAGGGTCATCCCTCTTATCAAAACATGAGTCTACATGAATCCTTGCTTACAAGTTTCTATTGCCCCCATTGCCTGCTGGAGAGAAAACAAACTCCTTTGCTTAGCCTCCAATTTTCTATTTCACTTGACCCCTGCCAACTCTGCAACCTCACTGGCTGTACTTTCTTGACTTGCTTGAAGCGACAACCTGCTATTCCATCTCCCCTGAAAGCTATTTTTCAGCTTTCTGTCATCAGGAACGTTTCTGTATATTTTGAAGATCTCAATGGAGTTTCTTCCTCTTTGAAATAAACATTTTCTGACCTCATGGTTTAGGTAAGGTGCCTCTTTGTTTGCCTACAGTTTCACATGCTACCATGACTATGTACTTATTACCCTACATGTTCTCCACTGGGTTCTTATCCCTGGACTGGGAGTTTCTGGGAGCAGGGCAGAGTCTGCTTTGTCTCTGGGACCCAAGTTCGCATCCAAGGAACTAGCACATAGGTTTCACCGATCACTTGTCAAATGAACAAGTGAGAATTCCTACTCTCTGCAGACCAATGAAAAGCTTGTGCACCTTACAGGAGACATTTATAGGGTCGTTGTCCTTAATTTTCTCATCTTCACGAGGTCATGTATCAAAAAAACATGTTGTACATCATAAATATATACAATTTTTGCTTGTCAATTTTAAAAAATTATTTAAAATTAATAAACTTAATAAAATAAAAAATTTTGTATAGTGTGAGAAAGGATTTGGATTTCATTTTTTGCTACCTTAACCCTTTGGTCTGATGTCATTCATTGAGAAAACATGCTATTCCATCTTAAACCACACTGCAGCCTTTGCCAAGCATAACGTGACCGAATATACAAATAGATGTATATTTTAACCCTCTTTTCTGTTCACTTGCTCATTATGTCTAGACTCATGGTGTCACACTTTCTGTAGCCTTACAGCACCTCTTAAAATCTGGTAGCATGAGTACTCTAAGTTGTGGATTTTTTCTTTCACAGCATTATAATTATTATAGGTTGTTTGCATTTTTCCATTCAAATTTTATAATCAGGTTGCTAATTTCCACCTAAAAAAGAATCTTGTAATTTGATTGTGATTGTATTAAATCTACAGATCAGCTCTTTCTCGTAGAAATATAATGCAATCTACATAAATCATTTTAAGTTTGCTAGTAGCCAAATTTAAAAAGTTAAAAAGAAACAGGTGGAATTAATGTAAGTAATTTATTTTATCTAACCAAATATATATAAAATATTATCACTTCAACATGTAGTTACGTGTAATCTCGGAAAAGATCAGATCTATACCTAGGTGGGCAAATATTTTCCTTTATAATATCTCATCCTCATAGAGCAATTTACCACAGACAAGTGGCCCTAAGGCTCAGGATAAGAAGACACAGTAGGAATGGGTAGACCCATGACCTGGATGATTACAGAAGGCCAAAAGAGTACTCTTACATTAAAACACCTGAGTTTAAGAACCTAACAAGAATTACAGGTCCAGCCATTTTTTGCATGCAGAGATGCATCAATGTTAGCACTGTTATTGAAAAACAATGAAGGAGATAGTTTCATGTGCAGCAAAGACAGCTGCATCTTTTGAGCACCCATTCAGTGAAGTGTGTTTTACATATATTTTCTTGCTGAATCTTTATAGAAAACATATCAGATGGCAATGTGGATGAGGCTAGAGGTAATTATGTTAAGTGAAATAAGTCAGGCACAGAAAGATAAATACTACATGTTCACTCATATATGGCAGCTGAAGAAAGTGAGCTCCTAGAAGTAGAAAGTAGAATTGAGGTTACTAGAGGATGGGAAAGGAAGGGGAGGATAAGAAGAGGCTGCTTAACATATACAGAATTAAAGCTAGATCAGAAGAATAAGTTCTAGTATTCAATGACAGTGCTACATGTCTATAATTAACAATAATTTATTGTATATTTTCAAACGACTAGAAGAGAGGAGTTCAAAATTTCCCATCACAAGAAAATAAGTGTTTACAGTGGTGGATACACTAACTAGCTTGTCTGATCATCCCACAGTGTATACTTGTATTGAAACATAACTCTTTACCCCCTAAATATGTACAATTAAAAAAAATTGGAGAAAGTTCCCAACTAAAAAAAATAAGGAGAGAGTTCCCAAGACCACAGACCCTGAGCCAACTGTGCCAGAACCAGCAGGCACTGCACTGCAGGACCTGCACCCTGGGTGAGTCCCTGCCACCGAGAGAGGTCTGACAGCCACTGCACCCAGAGTCCTCAAGGTAGCCCTGCTGGAACAGACAGTTGCTGCACCATGGGACCCCCAGTCAAGGTGATTCCCCACCACCCAGAGACCAGAAAGCAACCTGCCCACAGGCCCTGAGGTAGCCATGCCAAATTGGCAGTCCCTGCATGATCTGGGCCAGACGCCAGAGTGTATCAAATGGACCATGAAACCCCCTGCCACGATGACTAACCACCAAAAGAAAGATACCAGAAATATGAAAAACCAAGAAAGTATGAATAAATTCCCCAATCAAAAGACACAGACTGATTGACTGGATCAGAAAGATGGACCTAACAATAGGCTGCCATCAAGAGATTAACCTCACCTGTAAAGACACACATAGACTGAGAGTGAAAGGATGGAAAAAGATATACCATGCAAATAGAAGTGAAAAATGAGCTGGAGTAGCTATTCTTATATCAGATAAGATAGACTTTAAACCAAATTCATTAAAAGAGATAAAGAAAGCCACTATATACTGATAAAAGGATCTATCCATCAAGAAGATCAAAATCATAAATGTATACACACCCAACATCAGAGCAGCCATATTTTAAAAGCAAACACTATTAGACATTAAAAAAAATGAGATAGACACTAATACCATAACAGCAGGGGGCCTGAACACCCCACTCTCAACATTGGACAGATCATCTAGGCAAAAAATCAAGAGACACACAAGATCTAAACAACACTTTAGACCAATTGGACTTGACAGATATATACAGAACATTCCATTCAACAACCTCAGAATATTCATTCTTCTCGTCAGCATAGAAAACATTCTCCAGGATAGACCACAAGTCAGGTCACAAATCAAGTCTCAACAAATTCAAAATATTGGAATTATCCCATGTATTTTTTCAGATCACAATGGATTAAAATTAGAAATCAATAAGAAATGAAATTCTGGAAACTATACAAACACAGGGAAATTAACTAGCATTCTACTTAATAACATATGGGTCAAAGAAGAAATCAAACAGGAAATCAAAAAATTTATTCAAACTAATGAAAATAATGCCAAATAACAAAAATTAGAAATGAAAAAGGTGATATTACAACGAATACCTCTGAAATATAAGGAATCACTCAAGACTACTATAAACAACTATATGCCAACAAATTTGAAAATCTGGAGGAAAGGGATAAATTTCTGGACACACACAAACTACCAAAGCTGAGCCAAGATGCTTTAGAAAATCTGAACAGACCAATAAAAATTAAAGAGATTGAAGCTCTGATCAGAAGGCTCCCAACAAAGAAAAGCCCAGGACCAGATGGGTTCACAGCAGAATTCTACCAAACATTCAAAGAGGAATTGACACCAATTCTCTACAAACTATTCTAAAGGATTGAAACAGAGGCAATTCTCCCAAACTCAGTCTATGAAGCAAACATCACCCTGATACCAAAACCAGGTAAAGATACGACAAAAAAAGAAAACTACAGGCCAATATCCTTGATGAATATAGATGCAAAAATCCTCAATAAAACACTAGCTAACAGAATACAGCAACACATACACAAAATTATACACCAAGATCAAGTGGGATTCAGCCCAGGGATGCAAGACTGGTTCAACATATGCCAAATCAATAAATGCAATGCACCACAACAATAAAATCAAAGACAAAAACCAAATGATCATCTGTATAGACGCTGAAAAAGCATTTGACAAAATTTAGCACTCATTCATGATAGACTCTGTACATGTTGGTTATAGATGGAAAGTATCTCAGCATAATTAAAGCCATATATGATAAGCCCACTGCCAATATCATCCTGAATGTGGAAAAGTTTCCAGCTTTTCCCGTGAGAACAGAAACTAGACAAGGATGCCCACTCTCACCTCTTCTATTTAACATAGTGTTGGAGGTACTAGCCAGAGCAATCAGAAAAGAGAAGGAAATAAAGGACATCCAGACTGGAAAAGATGAAGACAAACTGTCCCTGTCTGCAGATGATATGATCCTATAAACCAAACAGTCTAAAGCCTCTATAAAAAAAAACTCTTAGGGTTGATAAATGATTTCAGCAAAATTTCTGGATACAAAATCAACACACAAAAACAGTGAACATCCAGAAAAAGAAATCAAGAAAGCTAGCCCATTTACAATACCCACCAAAAAAATAAAATATTTAGGAATAAAGTTAACCTGGGATGTGAAAAATCTCTACAATGACAATACAAATCACTGTTGAGAGAAATTAAGGAGGACACAAGAAGATCGAAAGACATCCCATGCTCTTGGATTGGAAGAATTAACATTGTGAAAATGTCCATATTACCCAAAGTGATCTACAGATTCAATGCAATCCCCATCAAAATTCCAATGACATTTTTCTCAGAAATGGAAAAAACTATCCTAACATTTATATGGAATAACAAAAGACCACAAATAGCCAAAGCAATCCTGAGCAAAACAAATAAAGATGGAGGTATAGCACTACCTGACTTAAAGCTATACTACAAAGCTATAATAACCAAAACATCATGGTACCAGCATAAAAACAGATACATGGATAAATGGAATAGAATCCAGAAATCAACCCATACACTTACAGCTACC